AAAAAAAAAAAAAAAATAAAAAAAAAAAAAAAAGTGCATTGATGAAGAATCAATGGCATATTGGTCAGATTCTTTACGCGGGCAAAAGACGTAGCCCGCTCGACCAACGACGAGTATACCCGTCAAAGATATAAGATTATATTTAAGGTGTTAGAGCGAGGGGAGCTTGGGTTTAAGGTAAAGGTAGGGGGAGCTCTTCCACACCACCTTGCGGTAAGTAGTGAGTAGGTGAGAGAGAGTAAAACCGTTGTGGGCATGCGCGAGAACTCTTGGTTGTTAGAAACACTGACTCCCATCGAAAGTGCTTTAAGTATATATGTTCTACTCTGCTCCTTAACCTCGCTCACTAGGTGTGCTTAATATACTATACTTCAAGAAATGAATTCTTAGACTAGAACAATAAAAAATAGTAAAATGTTTTACAAGAATGGTAACTGTTTTATTAAAAAAATAAGTTATTTTTACAATGTAAAAAAATACAGTAGAGAAAAAACAGTATCAATTCAATAAAATGTGAGAATATTTTAAATGTTTCAGTCCTCAGCATTTTCATTTTGACCCTCTTTACTATATCTAACCATTCGACCTCCTGATCAGTCCTTTGAATAAAGAAAAACAATTCCCAGAGTGTTCAGGATATCCTTCTCACTAATGTGTTTTTCAGAAGGCAGTTGACTGTTATATATGATCAGTAGCAAAACTGAAAAAATAACATATAATTAAAATGTTCATTTAAATACAATTTAAGCCTAAAATATAGTTTTACATTGTACCTTCCAGTATAGTGTAAAAATGTGTCTCTTTAAAGAGCTTTTTCCCTGGCTTGGGCCTTTGCACTCTATATAGTTTAATAACATCCTTGTGTCTCAATCTTTTCATAATCATGGTCAAATTGTGGAGTAAATCTGTATTAAAATTAATGATGAAGAACCAGTGATTTTTCTGAAATTAAATAACTGTACAAGTCGGCATAACAAAAATAACCAAATATTTTAGTAATTGAGTCATCAGGCATAAAATCTTCTTGTGTATCATCACACTCTTTGATAGTCTGAGAATTAATCAAGGGTTCGGAACAAATTTTTTTATCCACACAACTTTAATCGTCAACGGCATCGTAATTTGCACGAATATTGGAGCCATGTATTTCTTTTTCTTCTTCCTTTGCAATTGCACGATTTAAAGCACGATATCTCTTGAACTTTTCCTTACCTAATGACAAGGATCGTTTCACTGTC